GTTTGATTCCAATCAAAGACACATGCCCGGGTTGCAGGTTTCATCCCCAGAGTGGGGAGTATAGGAGGCAGCTGATTGATGATTCTCTCATCATTGATGTTTCTATCTCTCTCTCCCTCTCCCTTCCTCTCTGAAATCAATAAAGAATATATATATATATATATTTTTTTTTTTTTAAGAAGAAGAGGAAGAAGAAGAACAGTGCCTGGCACTGGGTAGGCCCTCACTATCTGTGGAAGGAATATTGTCTTAACAGGAAAGAGAAATAAGGTTGTTAGGGGGGAAACAGTTTCTAAAAAATAAAATAAAAAGGTAGCTTGCACATGTTGTTAAATACATGCTATTTATATCTTCCTTTACTATTGTTTCTGCTTGCATGCCCTGACCAGCTCAAACACCAAACATTTTTTTTCAAAAGAAAGAGCAAGGGTTCCTCTCTATGTCCACTGAGAACAGCCTGGGACCATCCACAATAGACAAGGCAGGCACCTGCACGCCTCCTGATGCCCGTCCCGCTTCTACTCTTTCCTGCCTACAGCCCTCTTGTTGCATAGCAGCCTGAGTAAGCACTCACAAACACAAATCAGACCATGTCATCTCCTGCTTTAAATAGACCAGCGGCTTCCTTTGCCATTAGAATGCACTTCTGAGTTCTTACAAGCTGACCCTGCATGCCGGAAACTTTTTCTCTGGCCACTCTCTCCCCCTGTGTACTCTGCTCCATCGACACTGACCTTGTTATGGATATCTACTCCGCTGAGTCCACTCCTGCCTCAGGGCCTTCACATGTGCTGTTCCCTCTACTTGTTCTTTTTCCCACCTGTCAGGTCTCCAGAGAAGCCCTTTTCTGTCCATCACCTTTATCAGAACACCTTGTTTTATTTTCTTTAAGGCATTTTTCACCACCTGAAAGCACTGTGCTCATTTAGTCTTTTATTGACTTTGTATGTCCCCACTGAATGTCTGCTCTGTGCTGGTCACTCAATCCTCCACACCCAATAACTGTGTGAGGGAATGAGTTGTGTTTTCAAGTTGGGTATTATGCCTGGGATATTCTGCCTTGGGAAGTGGATGAAGGGATGAAGCCATAGGTCCTTGTGACCTTGACTTCAATTGGAAAGGTTCAAATCCAAGGCCACACCTGGCCACAGGGGGAAGGGAGGGGGAAGGTAGGGGCCTTTTCTCAAAAATCTAGGCTCAGTGGAAGTTCAGGCTGGGGCCAGGTAGGGTCAGAGGGCTGAGAGTCATGGAAAACAACTAATAACTAGGAAGTTCCTGCCTCTGGACCGGCTGTGTCGGAAGGGGTACCATCTGCACTTCCTATAACCTCCCATTCCTGCACACACAACCCAGCGATGCAAGGCACTGCTCTAGGCACAGAGATTCAGCACTGACCAGGAAAGCCCAGCATCCCTCATGGAGCTGACTTTCCAAAGGGGAGACAAATCCAGATCCTGATGAGTGAAGGCAAGATGGCGGGCGAGAGAGGAGCACTCTACGCAGGGCCCTGTGGGCCACGGTGAGTTAGTTCTCCACACACGGTCCCACGGACCCTTCTTGGACAAAGACTGACTTTAAAATGTTTTGCTTACCATCTCATAGCTGCTGTAGGTCAAGGGGAGCCTGACAGATCTCCTCCTCACAGATGAGACACCTCAGTCATCCTCCTTCAAGTCCTGGATGTTTGCCCCAGTGAGAGATGTCTACTTTCAAGATCGCCTCTAATGGGGTGTGTGCGTGGACACACACACACACACACACACACACACACACACACACAAATGGGTCACTTTTGAAATGACCAAAAATCCGAAACAAGGACTTCCATACAATAAAGTCACTCATTCACCTTGTATTTTAGACCTAATTTTATAGCATTTCTGCATTGGCATTTAACATGGAAGCCACTGCCTACAGTCCAAGCCTGTGAGTGACAGGTGAGATTTACCCCTTTGCCAGGGGTAATGATGCCTATCTTAGTTGCAGCTGTACCGTTTGAGGCCAGCATTTCCTATCACTAATATCACATTTACTTTCCCATTTTTCCTTTTTTTTTTTTTTTTTTTAAGACAACGAGGGGAAAATACAATAAAAAATTCTACATATCTGCTCCACACTGAGGTGTAAGCTCTGCCGACGTGGAACTGTTGGTTGGCAATAGCAACACCAGGAACAGATGAAGCAGCAGCGTTGCCACCATCCGATGCACACAGTGGGATGCATGTGAGGGTTGCTGTAAAGCCCAAGGCATCACTCCCATAGCACGGCCCCTTTAAGCATTGCATTACTATATAAACAGCAACTGGCCAATGCAGGCATTCACACTAATCAGGTAGCCTGGGTGGTGTGGCTCAGTGATTGAGCACTGACCCATAAACCAAGAGGTTCAATTCCCGGTCAGGGCGCATGCCCGGGTTGTGGGGTCGATCCCCAATAGGGGGATTGGCAAGTCAATGTGCAGGAGGCAGCTAATCAATGATTCTCTCTTATCACTGATGTTTCTAGCTCTCCCTCTCCCCTCTTCTCTTTAAATTAATTAAAAAAAAACATATTAAAAAGAAAAACTAACGAAGCAAATCAATGGTTAAAATGAATGGAACTCTAACATGCACTTTTCATTGCAAAAGGCAAGAAGCTCAACCCTTTTCAGTAACTGCTCATGTCTGTGTAAAGCTTTTAGACACATATTATCTTCTCCATGCTTGGACAGTTGTGCGGGCGCTCCCAGGAAACCATTCCCTGAGGAGGCCCTGGACTAGGATCAAGACTCTACCGCCAAAACCGGTTTGGCTCAGTGGATAGAGCGTCAACCTGGGGACTGAAAGGTCCCAGGTTCGATTTCAGTCAAGGGCATGTACCTTGGTTGCTGGCACATCCTCAGTAGGGGGTGTGCAAGAGGCAGCTGATCGATGATTCTCTCTCATCGATGATTCTAACTCTCTATCCCTCTCCCTTCTTCTCTGTAAAAAATCAATAAACTACATTAAAAAAAAAAAAAAAGACTCTACCATTGGGTGGAGTTGCTGGCGTGAGCTGTCACGTCATGCATCTAAGAAAGACACGGGTTGGCCACTACGACCTGTCGATCAAACCTAGAAGACTGAGCTGAAGGTGGAGAATGAGTTATATTTTTAAAGTGTTTGTTGTGAAAACACAGAATTAAATGCAACAGAGATTGTAGGTGGCCCACAAAGCATAAAATACCACCTGGGCCATTAGGGAAAGTTTGCCAGCTGCTGGTCTGAGTGTCGGGAGAGAGTGAGCTGGTTAAGAGCTGAGTTCTGGGTTCAGTCTGCCTGGTCTGACTCCCTGCATTCGCTCACTATCATGTGGTCTTGGCAAGAGAATGAACCCTACTTCCCTCGTCTGTAAAATGGGGTGAAGAAAAACACCTCCGCTTCCTGAAGATGTGAGGATGTAATGGAACGTGCAGCAGGCCTGGTGGATGGACAGCCAGAAAGTGACAGCTACTACTATCTCTATACTACTCACAATAGAACTTTATGGGGATGCCGGGAGCATCAAATATAAGTTATATGCACACATGCATGTTAATTACAAATTACAAAGTGCTATAGAGATGAGCTAGGCAGAATAGGTGGCACATAAGAAATCTAAATCATAAAACATCTGGGATAGTAAAAAAAATTTATGTTATGAGAAAAATAAAAAGTAGTGGGTTGTTCTTGATTAAGGATGACAGAGAGCTGACAAGCAACACAGCATGTGATCTTGGGAAAACAAACACAGAAACAAATAACAGCCAAAAAAGCCCCAAAGGGTATTTTTTGGAAAATATGAATATGGACTGAAAGTTAGGATGGCATCATTAATTTGATGATAATTTGCCTTGGATGTGACACTGATATTGGAGTTGTGTAGGAGAACGTTTTCAGCAGATGTGGGGAAGTGTCATTATATGTGCAACTTGTTTTCAAATGGTTGACAATGACAGTGTGTGCCAATATCTAAACATCTACATATATAAAAGCCTAACATAAAAGTGTCCCCTCAGGAGTTTGACCGACTAACCCAGAGTTTGATTGCTCGCTTGCTATGACATGCACTGACCACAGAGGGTGGCACTGCTGGCAGCTGGCAGTTGGGGGAGGCCCCGGCTGGCAGCCAGTAGCTGCTAGGGACCCTACCCATGCACGAATTTCATGCACTGGGCCTTTAGTATAAACTAAATGCTGGAATCGGTGAATCTCAGTAAAGGATACACAGGGGTTTGCTAAATTATTATTTTCCCCATTTTCCCAATGGTTAAAAAATTTTCAAAGAAAATAGTTGTGTACAATATTCTAGCTAAGATATTTACATAGGACCTACATAAGAGACGATGTCATGAGTTATTCAGCTATATATTCCACAAATGACACCTAGTTATTAGAATAAGTAACATATATTTAATTCATATGACTCTCCACTTAGTGTTCCATTTTCTTATTTTCCTGTTCTACTTATATTTTTTAAAGGTATAGCAAAGTAACCGTTGAGCTTCACTTTCCTTGTGTCTGAGCAAGTTTATTTTTTTGTAGCCAGTTCTACTCCCGAAATAGTGACTCTTTTTTTGATTCAAGTCCCAGCCTGGAGCTCGGCTCACACAGATCAATACCAAAGGTAACGTGAAGGGAATGGGGGAGCACCCAGGTGGCTGCCCAGGTCTGGGGCAGGAGTACAGGGTCCTCAGGACACTGGGGAGTGACAGTAGTGTGCTCGGGGTCCAGAGAAAGGAGAAGTGGGAGTGAGCTGAGGTCTCACTTGTTCAAGAAGTTTGTTAGAAGGTGGGTAGACTGTGTTATCAACCCCAAAAGCTGATTTCTGCTGGAAAGTACTTTTCATCTGAGTCCAATTGGTAAGAAGCTTGAAGCACCTTCCACACTTAAACCAACACGAAACCTTCCCATCACAAACTTACTGCCACTAGCACACAGAACAAACACCGGTCGCTGCCATTTGTTTGCCCCCTGCCCGTTCAGAAGGCCCCCATCACTCACCTTGGGCGCCCCATCCATGCCGCTCGCTCCTCTCATGTCCGGTGAAACAGCCGCTCTGAGCGCCACAGCTAACACCGCCTGCTCTGGAGGCGGGTTACGCAATGTCACTGCATGCTCCGGGCAGGTTCTCAGAAACGGAATTCTGTGGAGCTGACGGCATGGGAAGTTGTCAAGAAGACTCTCCCAGCAGGCTCCCTTTCTGGAAAGCAGGTACAAGTAAGAGGAAAGGGCTGATGGAGGCAGGACCAGAAATCCTGGCCACCCTCGGTCCTCAGTGCCTGACGTCTCACTTCGCTTGTAAGTAGAGATTGTCATATATTTGCTGTGTGAAACCACAAAAGAAAAAAAACCCACCAACACTCTTCTGCTTTGTAGGTGGAAGTTCCTACTTTGAAAAGCTCGGAGTATGAGCGCACAGCATTCTCATCCCGCAAATGGATCGGCCCACACCACGCAGACCAAGTTCTTTCTGAGATTAGAGGCCACAAGCCCAAGTTTCTGAGATCGGTCAATGTTCCTCCTCCCTGCCCCCAACACTGTTCTGTGATGGCCAAAAGAAAACAAGCCAGGGGACTGCCCTGAAGGACCTTGTCCCCACTATCCTCCCCACTCAGCAGCCCCTTCTCCCTGCCCTGACCCCATGCCCACCTCCTGGTCTCTGTACCCAACACTCGATGGTCACATTTCCTGGGTGCTGGCTGCACCTGGCTATGCTGAGCCTAGAAATAGAATTATATTGTCTCTTAAGTCTCACCAGCCCATCCTTCCACCTCCAACAAGCCTTCTGTGCTCCCTTCCTGCGATGACAGCACTCACTGGCTTGCGGGCTGCTTGTCTCGTGTGTAGTCTCAAGTCTGAGCGCCCGGAAGGAGCTGCCACAAAAATAGCGGGCTGACTTCTGGCTGAGACGATCCATATTTTAAATTGTTATCATTGTTGGAAGCTAACTTCCTGGACCAAGTAACTGTGTTGCTGATGGGAGCTGACAAGGAATGAACAATGACCCTACAGAATGGGGGGGGGGGTCCACAGGCAGGCTGACGTGGGGGTGGGTGGAGAGGGCAGAGATGGGAGAAGGAGGAGTCATTTCGGAAAGGCTTCAGGAGGAAGGCGAGGTGAAAAGCCAGGCGGGCAGGTCTGTTTAGAGGCAGAGCTTGTGCCTGGCTGGGCCACCATGAACATGCAAACCGGAAAAAATGATGGAATTAGCAAGTTCCATTTAAGGACAAGCAGACTCATCTGAAAGAGCAGTGAGTCATGACAGTGGCTGAGGTTATGACATTAGGACTAGTGGAACTTCTTTGATCCTATTCGTCTTACTGATAAGACAGAGTTAGAATAGCATATCATACTGCAATTCAAGTGGCTGGTGACACTTGTAGGACAAAGGACATCTGATGTGTTGGATTAAATGTTGGTGCGTCTTCATCCCTGCTTCCTTCTGGCTCTGGCAGGCGCTGTGCTGGGTACACAGGCAGCATTGAGGAGGAAGAGGTAGCTGAGCCCTCCAGCCAATGTGGAGGGAGGTTCAGGTTTCTGGTGGGAATCCATGAATCCTAAACTCAATGCTTCCCGACATATACACATGGGGGAAAATTCCAGAGTGGAGGGGCTCAGTCCAAATGTCTCTTATCTACAACTCACTATTTTCTAGAACAAAAGTCACATATCCTCATACTTGGGGAGACAGTAAGAGATAGAGATTTGGCCAAAAAACCAAACTGGTTTCTTTAATAAATAAACTGCAAAAGAGGAAAAACAAAAAACAAAACAGAGGTGGAATCTGAAGCTTAATAGACTTAAAAGACATATCAACTTGCAATGAATGGGCCTTAATTGGGTTCTATTCAAAACAATTTATAAGGAAATTTGAACACTGGTACTAGATATGTGATATTAGGTAATTAATGTTACTATTTCAAGGCATAATGAGGCTAGAAATTCTTTTTAAAAAAGGCCTTATCTTTGAGATATATATTGAAATACTTACAGATAAAATACTTCTGAAATTGGCTTCAAAATAATCCAAAGTGAATAGAGGTATAGATAAAACAAGAATGGCAATGAGCTGAAAACTGGGGAGTCCGAGTGATGGGTATATGGAGACTCATTCTTCTATACTGTTGACATTCAATTAAAATAACAGCTTTAGCCCTAACCGGTTTGGCTTAGTGGATAGAGCATCGATTTGTGGACTGAAGGGTCCCAGGTTCTATTCTGGTCAGGGGCATGTTCCTGGTTTTGGGCACATCCCCAGTAGGGGGTGTGCAGGAGACAGCTGATCCATGTTTCTCTCTCATCGAAGTTTCTAACTCTCTATCCCTCTCCCTTCTTCTTTGTAAAAAGTCAATAAAGTATATTACAAAAATAACAGCTTTGTTAAGATACTAGAGGCCTGATGCACGAAAATTTCTTCCCCCAGCTGCTAGCACTGGCTTTTCTCTGGCACCCAAGACCCGGGCTTCCCTCCTTTGGCTGCTGGTAGGCACCGGGACCTGGGCTGACTTCCCCCAAACCACCTGCAAGCACCCAGGATCCTGCTGGCTTCCCTCAGGCCCCGGCTTCATCAGGAAGGATGTCTGGAATACGCCCAGTCTAATTAGCATATTATTCTTTTATTATTATAGATAATTCACATACCACAAAATTCACCCTTTAAGAGAGTACAATTCAGTATATATATATATTTTTTTTGTATATTCACAGGTGTTTAAACCACCACCACTATCCAATTTCAGAACATCACCCCCAAAAGAAATACCATACCCCTTAGCAGTCACTCCTCATTCTCCTGTCCCTGAACCCCTGGCAACCAGTTTCTGTTATATTATTGACTTTTGTATATATTTGAAAAAAGTATAAAAGGATAGACCAGTGTGCCTGAGACTACCCCGTAAAATGACAGAGAGAAAATCTGAACCCAAGTCTCCCAGAAAAGAAAAAAGGCCCACTTCAACCACGCACGTTCTCACGGGCCCCATGACCTTATCAAATTTCTGATACCGGCTCTTCCCAAAACTGAAGGGCTGACTCAAGTTCACCACACAGATCAGAAGGCTCTAATTTGCACGCTCTTTCTTAGGAAAAACCACCTTGACCAAAAAAACAAACCAAAAACAAAACCAAGACACAAAAGAATAGGATTTGGCCCTGAAATTAAACTAACCCCTGCACAGAAACTATGCAGTAGCTTGTGAACGAGAGGGGCTTGACTTCTCAACCTGGTATTTGGTCCTGCTATGTTTTTTCAGAAAGGCCTTACACATTTTGCTATAATCCACTCCTATTTGCTTTTTAAGGCAAGGGAGTCTGTCGTGTGTATAAATATTGCGAGAGCTGATCATTCTAGGAAATTGGCAGGCTCTCGCAACATCCTGCCGATCCAAGGCTGAAACAGCTTGAGTTCAAGAGAACCAAGGTGAGCCTCCAGTGAGGTAATTATTTCCCCTTTTGACAAATTTGCCCGAGAACAGAATTTGTCATTCATTTCTCTTTTCCGAACCTAGTGAGTCTGATAACTTCGATATTCCTCAGGGAATGTGCAGGAAGATTGCTTTTCTTTATGGAACTTGATTTTGAATGCTTCCCACTGCTCCCATGTGGACCTGCAACTCTCAAGCCCATGGAGCAGTGGCAGTGGGACACTGGGCACTTGATACCTGCTTATTACTTTCTTAAATTTTTATTGATGTCAGAGAGGGAGGGAGGGAGATAGAAATATCAATGAGAATCATTGGCTGCCTCGTGCATGCCTCCTACTGGGGAGCAAGTCCACAACCCGGACATGTGCTCTGACCGGAATCAAACCATGACCTCCTGGTTCATAGGTCAACCACTGAGCCACACCAGCTGGGCTCGATACTGCTTATTAAAATACAGTGGACACCAGCTTCAAAGGTGTGGGAGGAAACACCAGACTGCATGGCTTTGAAGCCATCTGATTCACTGGCAGATTTGAACCTTGTGAAGATAAACAAATGGTTATTTTGGTCAAAGAATTGCATAAGCTGCCAACAAATTCACCTACATCCCTTAGTGTAGGGATGAAATAAGGATGACTAAGGCCCATAGCTACCATAATTTCTAGTGGTAACTCACTTTACTAGCCTAAATTTTGATCCCAGAGTTGAGAAAGAAAAGGAATCAGAGCAAGACTTGGAACAAAAAGCAAAGGGATTGCTGTTGGGTATGCAGTGGTCATAGAACTGGAGGAAAGGCTGAACGTCAGCGGGAGAACAAGGAAAACCAGGACAGAAAGCGTTGCCAAGGGCAAAGAGTCCTGCGGGCTGAGGGAGGGGGAAGGACCACTTGGAGAGGGTGCAGGGAAAGGGGCTGCAGAGACAGGCACTGGCCAAGGAGCAAAAGGCAAAGGATAAGAGCTGCAGAAACAGGGCAAAAGCATGAAGTACGAAAGCTACAGAAATCAAAATGTTTCCTAACAGCCGTTTCAGTTGTTCCAATCTACTCGGTCACTTCTTAAGTTTCTTGATCCTCGGTTGAATTTTGATTTCCTTATTTTGGTTCTTCAAACTTACTATCTTGTTCATCTGATAATCAGTCTTTCCAAGTCTGACTGGTTTCTAGCTTCTACCGATTCTCATCACATTGCTGTTTCTCCAACTGTTCTGGAATGTGGCCCTCTGAGTCTTAGAGCTTTACTGGGAGGTTTGAGGCCTGGGGTTCGATGTGTTCTTCCAGAGAATCTGAGCTGGCTTCTGTTGGGTACCTGAGGCCATTACCAACTAGGGTTGCCTTAAATTCCTGGCTTGTTTCTCCCAGTCACACAGGTCGTGTGAATTGTTCCAGCCTTTCTGGACCAACAGCTTGTGGACAGGATTCTGAGAAGACCCTGCGCTGTGCTGACTCCACACCCCTCCCTGCAAACCTAGGCCTGTGCAGTCTCAGAGGAACCCTCCTCCTCCCAGGCAGGGTTTTTGTGAAGTTCTCCCTTTCGCTGAGGAGGGCATCTTTTGGGTTCTGGGCTTTCTTTCTTTTTTTTAAAAAAATATGTTTTATTGATTTTTTTACAAAGAGGAAGAGAGAGGGACATAGAGTTAGAAACATCGATGAGAATCATCAATCAGCTGCCTCTTGCACACGCCCCCACTGAGGATGTGCCCGCAACCAACGTACATGCCTTTGACTGGAATCAAACCCGGGACCTCCCAGTCCGCAGGCCGACGCTCTACTCACTGAGCCAAACCAGTTTTGGCATGGGTTTTCTTTCTTGATCAAAGTTCCTACCCTGTTAAGACTCAGAGCTCAGGAATTAGGCTATGAGGGCTTAACAAATATCCTTGGTGTAACTGACAGGGTGCTGTCCTGTTAACCTCCTGGCTTTGTGCATTCTGGTTGTTTTTGCCCTAAGAATCCCTTGTTTTCTTCTATCTCAGCTATCTATTTATAGCTTAAAAATAAAGTCTGTCCAGGGTTTGTTTCAAAAAAGTTCTTAAGAGTGCCTGGTCTTTCATTATTTTCAGGGACAGAAGTCTCCCCTTCAAAGTACATGTCTTATGTCTTCCCTCTCCCCATCTGTTTATGTCATGACTAGAGCCTGGTGCATGAGATTCATGCATGGGTATGGTCCCTAGGCCTGTCTGGCGATCAGGGATTATCAGGTTCCCTGCCTCCTCCCCTTCCCTCACCACCCGTGCCACTGCACAGTCTCCCCCCCCCCTCTCCTAGCTTCCTCAGTGCCCCACCACAACCACTTGTCTCCCACCATGTTCCGCATCGCCCTCTGGTGGTCAGTGCATGTCACAGCGAGAGATCGAACTCCCATTCTCTGGGTCGAATTCCCGAGGGAACACTTTACAAAATAGTCTTTTATGTATATATTAGTGGCCCAGTGCATGAAATTTGTGCACGGGGTGAGTGTCCCTCACCCCAGCATACATCCTCTCCAATCTGGGACCCCTGTGGGATCGAGCTAAACTGGAATTGGACAACCCTCTCGTAATCTGGGACTGCTGGCTCCTAACTGCTCACCTGCCTGCCTGCTTGATCACTCCTAACCAGTTTGCCTGCTGGCCTGCTCACCCCCAACTGGTCCCCCCCCCCCCCCCCCAGCCTGATCACCCCCAACTGCCCTCCACCCCCCAGTCCCCAGCCTGATCACCCCTAACAGCCTCTGCCCTGGCTCCGCCACCATGGCTTTGTCTGGATGGATGCCTGGAAGGTATCATGGTCTAATTAGCATATTACCCTTTTATTAGTATAGATAGGATATGACATACTGCCATAACTATATGCACCAGTATTACTATGAGAATACATACTTCATGCAATAGGAAGGCATCTAATACATTACATTGTATATGCTGTCAGTAGTAAGAAATACTGTATTTGTAGCAATAGTA